TTAAACAATAATTTGCTTAGCTAACTTAACAAACTGTAATGGAAAGTGCATTTTATTACATATTCTCTGTAAGAAATAGTCATAAAAATTTTATCTTCATTTTATCTTTCTTTTAAATAAATAGATCGTGAAGATAAGAGCTATACCGTGAATGTGCATTGCGAGCTTGTTCCCTTTTCGAAGGTGGATCCATAAAAATCGATTCTCCTGATAGTAAAGCAATGACTGTTAATGCTTCCTCCAGACACCTGTGTTCTACCGACGCGAGGATTACTTTGGTAAATCGAGGATCTAATGGGAATAGTGACATCGTACGACCGAGTGTAGTCAGCTGCGGTGGAGATCCTTTTAAAAAGAATATAAGAATTTTATTGTATATCTCGATCAGAACTGACTCCCGTTATTCACATCATGTTCAATATAATGGAACAAAGAGGAACAAACAAAATTTAAAATGTATCTTTTTTATATACATATGAAAATAAAATAAAATTCTTATTTTTTTACAAATAATATTTAAGTATTTTCTATTGCAAATAAATGTACAAATACAAGAAGAATTCGTACCTTTAACCGCACCTAGTTTCTCTAAACATTTCACAGCCACATCTACGCCTTCTTTGGGTGGTTTGTCCATGAAATCAAAGGTAGTAATATCAACACCAATAGCGAGCAATTGAAGAGCGACTCCTGCGAGAGAGCACCTTTGAATTTCTGGCACCGGCATATTCTTCATCTTGTCAAATTCTTCTCGGGTGTAAGCTCTATAACATCTACCCGGCGATTCGCGAGCGGCTCTGCCCGTCCTTTGCCAAGCTTGAGCTTGTGAGATTTTTTCAACCCTTAACATATCCAATCCCGTCATTGGATGATGAGTTCGCGCTTTGACAACACCGGTATCGATCACGTGACGGATTCCTGTTTAATTCCATTAAAAAAAATTCTTAGATCAGATTTCAATCAATAAATTCAATAATTTGGAATAAAGTTAAAATACCGCAATATATGTGTGTATATATATACATATATATACACACACACACACACACACACACACACATTCTATTATCATTTGAATTGGAAAAATGAATTATTATATATAGAAAATTTTTAAAGAAATTACTTTCTTTATATCTTATAACTTCATATAATTATTTGGCGTTTATAAAAAAATTTTAGTATTAATAAAAACGTTTATTACTATTTTTTACATGTTACTTAAAAAAATAAAATGAGAAAAATAAAGTGTACATGCATACCACCAATTGTGACGGATGTCTCAGCAACGTTTGTCGATAACACTAATTTCCGCATTCCCGGTGCGGAAGGTTTGAAGGCCTCTAATTGCTGATGAGTGGGCAGTGCTGCGTATAAGGGGAAAACTTTTAGAGTCGGATATTTCTGTCCATCCATTTGTTTAGCTACTTGTCGAGCGGCTACCGCGGCTGCTTCTATTTCTTCTTGACCAGTTAAGAAAATCAGAATATCCTCACTAAAAAATAAAAGCCCAATAATATTAACAAAATATTGTTGTATAATAACATCTCATGTGCACTCTTAAAATTATTATAGTTCTAATTTATTTTAAAATGTAGACACTTCACTCTCATATACTTTATATAATTAAATACAGTTTTCATAGATAATATTAGAACTACAAATATAATACTTACTTTGCAGGTATCTGACGATGAATTTGAAATGCCGTAACTAGTGCGGCAAATGCATAGTCCTGCTGCGTGGAAACTGCATGAAAAATTTTCACAGGATGTTGACGACCTTCCAGATATAACGCTGGTGCCTGGAAGTACTCTTTAAATTTATTAGGATCCATCGTGGCTGACATAATTAGAAGTTTCAAGGGCGGTAGGTTCTTCAACTTTCGTAAATTTTGCGCTCGTTTCGTCACTCCGAATAGAACATCGGTCTGTACAGATCGCTCGTGAGCTTCGTCAAGTATCACTACCTGTATAAATTTATAAATTTCATTGTTCTATAATAATAAAACAAATAATTACACAATTAGATAAGAAAAAATACATGAATAATAATGCATGAAAATACTGAAAGGGAGATGTAAAAATTCTTTAATAAATTTAATAATGGATTTTCTTTATAAATATTTAATTAAAAATTGTCGTTTATCTTCTAAATATCAATAAAAATAATTTCAATTTTATTGTTTATTAAATTACCCAAATATTTAAATTTTATTTTTAAATAAAATATTAGAAATAAATCGATTATCAATTTTTTTTCTAAAAAAACTAAGAAAATTATACACATATATACATACATATATATACGTACATATGTATAACAAAATTCCTTTAATTTTTTAAATATATATATATATGTCTGTGTGTGTGTGTGTATTAATGTATAAAATATTAGTAAAATATTAGTTCTAAAATGTATGATATATATTATATGATATAACTATATAAGTAATTTCAGCTCTTTTCAAAAAATTTATCGCGATTAAGCTCGTTATCTATCATTAGTTCCGAATATACATTTGATAGCTTTAATAATATTATTTTAGTAATAATTATATATATAAAATGTACCGAATAATCTGATAGGATCTCATCAGTCATCGCCTCTCGCACCATCATGCCATCCGTCAGATATTTGATCTTCGTATGCGAGGAGGTACAATCCTCGAAACGTACGCAGTAACCCACCAATTTTCCCGGCTTCACTCCCTGCTCTTGAGCAACTCGACGCGCTATACTGACCGCCGCTATCCTGCGTGGCTGTGTAATGCCGATGCAGCCAGACGTGCCGATCATACCGGTCTGAAGCAACAATTGCGGGATCTGCGTGGTCTTACCGCTGCCGGTTTCGCCTATTATAATTAGAGTACTGTGCCGGTGTATCTCTTCCAATAATCTAGAAATCCACAAGCATAATCGCTCTTCTTAAACAATGATTTGAAGACCGGAAATACAATATAAATAAATAAAATAATATAATGTTATAGAACTATAATATGTATAAAAAGTGTGTTATGTACTTATTAATAAAATATACTTATTATTTTTATTGCAAAGAGACACAATCTTTGACATTTTATATGTGTATATATCTTTTAACATAAATTAACCAATGTACATGTTACATAGATTATGTAAGAAAAAAATAAATAAATAAATATATATTCATATCAACACACATCCATACAGCGCAAACCAGTATTGTTACATTGCAGCAATATTGCAATGTTGCTACAATATTGCTAGAGATATATATATATATATATATATATATATATATATATATACACGCGCGCGCGCATACATACATACATACATACATGCATATATACATAATTTTCTCTAAAAATAAATTAAATATTGCTCGCTCAAATGAAGTATATTTATAAAAACGAATAAAACATTCTAATGTTGTTCTTTTTTTACCTATAGATTTATAAATTGTTTTGTTTTATACAGTAAGTTGTTAAATATATTGTGTTAAAAATTCGGAATTTTGAAATTAACTAGGAGTTTTTAAGTTAACAATTTTTTAAAAGTTAATTCTTAAACAAATCAATGAATTATCTGATAAATTTCTAATTATCTGATAAATAAAATTATCAGTGCTCGCGTACGAGCATCTATATTATCGAGTATACGAGTACATATATCAGTTTCCCCTTCTCTTTCTCTCTATTGACGAAGTGCTTTTAAAACCACATTCCTCCATTTTGAAACATCCTGTATACACCGCGTGACACAGATGAACGTTGCTGTTTTACATCGATGCACATGACACATGAAAGATAAATCAAAGAAAGGAACGGGATATTTTCACCTTTTACGATGCATGTAGACGGGCAATGATTTCCTCCGCTGATGTAAACTAACGTTTAACTTATCATTGTTCTTTGTTGAATTCACAGAATTATTACACTGGTTTTCATTAATTTTTTGCACTTTGTTGGATTTCTCGTGGAACACGACGGTGTTGGGCCGCTTCAGGGCCATCTTGGACGACTTCCCCATCACGTTGTACTTGGAATCCGCGTCGTCGTGGACCCTCATCTCGTTCACTCCTCGTGCGCGAATATGCGAAATACCGTTCGCAGCACGACCAGTCGAGCACAGTCGAGCACCATCAAACACGTGTTGCACACTACAGCTGTTTCTGCGTCGTTTCATACGCCCTCTCGGCGAATATGATAGTAGCGCTAGTAATAATCATAGGACTTTTACATACTTTATGTTGGATGCAGTGACGCGTAGATGAAAATCACTTTGTTACGTATTTCCGGAAAAGCGGGAAATTGATTAGTTACAATTTCATAATAAACAAAATCATCTGTATATAAGAAATAATAGCTGCATTTTATAATTAGCAGTAATTCTGGAAGCAGCTATATCAATTCCGAAAATTATATCAAAACAAATAATCTTTTTAAGTGATTTTCTCTAAGAAAAATATCAAATCATTTTCTAACATATTAAAAAAATAATATTATTTTTTTGAGTATCTCTATAAAAAATGACCCAAATAAAAATTGAAATTATTTTATGCTACATCCTGCAATTTTCGGAACGGGATTTAGTCTCGCACAATTATTATTTCAATATGTTTTTTTATAAAGATCCTATCTATCTATCTATCTATCTATCTATTTATCTATATATATATATATAAGAAATATTTGTAATTTTATAATCTCGCATATATATATATATATATATATATATATATATATATATATATATGCGAGATTATAAAATTACAAATATTTCTATTTTTAAGTCTACTGAATATAAAATAAAAGGTGTATAAATCTACTATGAAAAGTGAAACATCCATTACAGTTGAAAATAAAGTAGCAGTTTAAAAACATCATGTTTTATTTTCCATGAGTTCATTTATGCCTGCAATTAGTTGAGATATTTCAAAAAATATGGACTAAACTTTTTGATATGATTAAAGAGATAGAACACTCTTTATTACAATATTACATCAAGATATATTATACATGACAAGATGTCACATTATCTTATGAATTAATTAATTTCGTAACACTTGTTCTTATAACTTAAATAGGGAATGACTTACGAGTTTTTATATTCATTTTTAATATTCAATGATAACTGTGACACAAATAGTCATGTCACATTATTATGAATTAATTAATTTTGTAACATTTGTTTTTAAAACTTAAAGATAGAGAATGACTTACAAGTTCTTACTATTCATGGTAACTATTGTGCTTGTGTGTGTGTGTGTGTGACACAAATAGTTGTATATCATTAATAACAAACTCAGTTGATTGTACTAATGCGTAATGTATTTAAAGACTATCATATACAAATGTACAATAGCATAAATAATTAAAATAATTAATTCGAGTTATTCATATCGTTATTTGTTCAATGAGAAAAAATATAATAATTTATTAGTAGTATTAATTGATAATTACCTTATTATTTTAGTTATACTATTATATATACATATGACAGTCTTTAATGTGCACCAGTATGCACTCGACAGTAGTGTGTCCAACCGAATTTGTTGTAAGTTTTATGTAAAATACATAAGTCGACATCAATTAAAAAAATATTTTGATATTATTAGGACAAAATTTCGATTTAATTGCGTTACGAAATTATCACAGATCAAGCTGTGTGTAACAGGAAGACACAGTGAACAGACACTTTTACGAGATTTAAAACTTTTACATACCTATTTATATCATAAATTTGCAACTAGATTGTACATATCATCGTAATGCTCGATGAATTGGTGTTACTGCATGCGGTGGCACCTACAAAATTTAGAAAAGTTATTAATATTATGGTTGAAATTTATTAGTTTCCCATTTATTAGTTATTTCAATGATATATCAATAAGATAGAAAGATATACTTTTTGTAATACTAAATAAAACTAGTAAAATAAGAATATCTCTCGTTTTGTTTTTAAAAATTGCCTTAAAATAAGATATATACATATTCTCATATAAATTAAAAAACAATTTTATATATATAACATCTAAATACTTAAAATAGATTTACCATTGCACCAATGCGAGACAAGTAACGGTTTCGTATACTGATATCAGATTGTGGTTGCATAAGACCGTCTGCTGAGAAATCCGCTGTACACTCTGATAATAATTTTTCTCGTTCCAAACTCTCAGGAGTACATCGAAGCATTTCATATCGTTCTCTTTGTCCTGGTGTCATGTTGAGATAACCACTACTTGTTGCTGCATCCATTATCCAGATTGCACCAGCAGTTATCAATGAAACTGATTGCAATATGTGAAATATGTTATTTATATATTATTTATAAAATTTCGCGTTATAATACGCGAAAACACGCGCTGATTATTCGAATTTCAAATTCGCAAAAATACTCACCCCAGAGCCAAGCAAGGAAGAACATTTCGAGCATTAAGTATCCTCCTTTGTCGACAATTATACCAGCTACAATTGATACTACAGCAAGACCTAAATTTTGTACAGCTTGCGCTCTATAAGAAAAAAGGTTATACATCAATATTTTCTTCATTAAACATTATTTTTCTATGATAAGTAATAAATTGTGCTTACATTCCATAAGCAGTACCAAGTTGATGCTCGGGTGTAACAAGAGCGATTAAAGGCCATAAACTGCTAGCAAGCATCGAGTACGCCAATCCCATGAGAACCATACACACATAGGGATTTAAATAGGTAAATGCGAGCAATCCATGTGCAAAGATAGTCATACAGATACTAATAAACACCCATAATACATTTTTTCCTATCCTATCTACCAAGTAACCTAATATAGGTGATGCTATCGCCGATATCGAGTAAACAAGAGAATTCACCATGTTTGCAGCAGATGGATCATATTCGTATTTCCGTTCGAAAAATACTCTAAAGAAAAATTAACGAAATATTAATTTCTATCCTAATATGTAAAATTATAAATGAAGAGTCAAGCAGGAATTAGTTCTTACTCATATGAAACGAGTCGCAAATATCGTTATCAATATTATTCTAAAAAATATTTTACATGCTTGTTTAATGTGATTTGAGAATCGTTCCATATAAGCGCTATATTTATTTATGCTATCATGCACTTACTTTCCTAAAGCGATAAAGGGGAATATCGCGACATAATAAGCGATGCAAATGAGCGCAATCAACCAAAAGATTGGCTTGAAATCCTTGACGTCCTTTAGACTAACAACTTGCGGTTCTTGTCCTTCTCCTCGTCGGAGCAGTCTCTCGGCGCGTTTATCCATGAGGCCTAATATACACGCGCATATCATCGACATCACGCAAGTTCCAGCAGCGAGAAAAAGAACTATGCCAATGCATTCTGGACCCTTATAATAATTAGATACATAATTGTATATTGGCTCCATTACTAAGAAGTTCACAGTCGATCCGACTCGCGCGAAGCTCAACTGCAGTCCAAATACCATATTTAATTCTTTACCTTTGAACCAAAGAACTGCATAACTATTTTGAGCAACTGCCAATGATTCCGCACCGATTCTAGAAAAAAAAGAAATAGCTTTTGATTTCATAGTTTATGATTTATAAAAAGATAAGTAATAATTGTAATATTAAAACAGATACATACCCAAAGACAAATCGGCCTAGCATCATTAGCCAAAAAATATTAAACATAGCACCACATGCAAAAATGATTTGACCAATCAATGTAAGTCCCATATATATTATAGTACCTAGCCGAATTCCAAAGACACTATCTAATAAAAATCCTCCAATGAAGCAGAGAATGATATTTGGCCATGAATATATAGAATATAACAAAACAAATGTGCTAGTTGACATATCTAAATCAGTTTTAAAATTATCCTGTAATGCTCCAGGATTGTCAAAACAGAAATACGATCCTGAAAAAAAAAATTTAATTAATATATAAGGCATAATTTTGCAAAGAAACACATTTTTTAAAAAGAAATTTATATAATGCATTTTTATAATTAGAAGAGTTAAAATGTTATTCGCTAAAAGTTTTATAGTTTATTAAGAGGTGGCATATTATCACATATGCATAATTCCATTTATATGAGTCATAACTTCAAATCATGCAACATATGGCATATATTAAGAAAAAAACATGATAACCCATACAAAGAGAGTTCATGATATGCCTTATCTAATGTCAAATTTTTTTTTATAATTAATAGTAGAAAACAGAGAGGCAAATAATTTCAACTAATCTTTTTTATTATTTGTCTCTCTCCCTCTCGCTTTCCCTTTGTCTCTATTTTTAATCTTAGTTATTAAACAGTAATTAAAAATTTTTTTATAACTATACAAAAAAAGCAAACAAAACAAATCGAATAAATATTACTATATACTTTTTTCCTTTTTTAAATGTGGCTAAAAATAGTTATATATATATTCCTATGTATCAAATATTAGAAATCTCTTAAATATTAAATATTAAATAAAATATAAAATTAAATATAAAAAAATATTAAAAATATTAAATTAAATATAAAAAAATATATAATATTACACAAAATTCAAGAAATAGATAATTTAATTTAGAATAAAAAAAAATTGTTAAATAAATATATATGCCAGGTAAAATGTAAATATGAAGATCGCGAGAAAATTTAAAATGCAATCTCACGATAGCAAATATTCAAAATACGCATCTCGTCCGTCGTTATCGTCGCGATAATAATTCGCTTTTGACAGCGACACCGTTTCAGCTGTGCAATGACAGATAAAGCGACGCGTTACATAGTAAACAACGCATCCGCGAAGTTACGTCAATTCGTACCGAATCCGAGTAGACACATGAGCGCCAGACCCAAAAATCGGTAGGGCATTTTCTTAGGGCTGCAACATCCTTGCAGGGCCATCTCATCCTCCCATCTGTTCGTTTCGGTGCTAACAGAACTTTCCACTACACCTCCCTCCATACTTCGTTGTTATAGTTTGCTTTGTTGTCGTTGAATATCGAAAGAGCTTTATATGTTATGTATATAAAATTCAATTCGATATTTGTGTCGCGACGCGCAGCAATCTCGTGCCTTTCCTTTCACATCGCACGATTACGCGAATGAGGTCGGTGGCACCATGAACGAAGAATGACGCCGACAGATTACTCCGAGTGTATTTCAGCATCCGAATACAACTGTTGATTAATCTGTCAATCGACGTCGACGCGTTTATGCGTCATCCCACCAGAGAAGTCAGATGTAGGCTGAATTTTATGCGCATGTACGACAAAATCCCTAAAGCGGAAGAAAGGCGTATACCAATGGCACGAAACGAAATAACTAAATTTCCTTGCGTCAGTGTGTTCTTAATAATATGAAAAAAAACAATTAATTACAAATTTATACAATCTTTGAATTATGTTTCGACTACATGATTCGATAAAAATCTCACGCAGAACATTTTTACAATTTTTCTACATTTTAATAAATTACCATATTATTGCTCAACTGTATCCATACTGATTCCCGCATGTGGAAATTTTAATTAATAACAGAATCAAATATAATAAATTTAATAATAGAATCAAATATAATAAATTTTGTCAAATCTCATTCATAAGAATTATTATTTTACAATTATTGTAAATCCCTTTTCCCTTTTCTGAATATTGATATTAAATTGCGCTTATTTTAGATTATAATAAAAACAACACTTAAAGACAAATTTTTTAAATATTAAAGGGAAAAGACAAAAAATTCAAGTTGTGTCCAAGGAATCCAAGGATATCCATTTCGTCACGTGTAAAAACAATGACATTAAATTTTCATACATTTATTATAAAAAGGTAACTTATGAGCTTATATGCAATTGAGATGCTTAAAACTAGTTAAAATTCGAACCATCGATGAACAATCAGATGATAGAAAACTTGGTATCGTCAAGTCCTTAGCTGTTTATTTAGCTAACTTAACTAATAAGTTAACTATATAAATTAACTATATAGTTAACTTAATTGATAAGTTAACTATATAAGTTAACTATATAAAGCTAACCAGTAACTTCTTCTGTAGCACCTTCTTCAAATTCAAGTTTCACTTGACATTCCTCAGGCAATCCTTCAACATCCACTTCCGTTTCAGGTGCATTGAGCATATTGAGCGTTACTTCCGCCGATTTTCCTATCAGACTTTGATTTCCCGATGTGGACTGCTGTTTAACAACCTGTTGCTGAACTAATGTCGATTGTTGTGCCTGCTGAGGAAGAATTTGTTGTTGCCTGACAGATATTCCTGCTTCTTCGAACGCCTTCTTCTTTAGAGTGGTTCGTATCTGAGAGCTGGAAAAGAGAGCAATATGTTCGCTGTAAAATTCGGGCCTGCCTCAATGGCAGCCTTTGAAAACTTACACCGTCCGACTCTTGATGTGCTCGCTTATTCTGTTCAACTCTTCACTGAAAGCCCTTACTGAGTGACGGAGCATCTCAATGTCCTCCTCAGTCCATTTACTACGCATCGAGGGGGATAGGAAATTATGAAAAGAGCATAGGGGGTCTATAATAGTTGTACAGAGTAATAGTCTGATGGTGTACACTGTAAATTTGTTGAAACAAGAGAAGCTACTTTGTAGTGATCTTGAATATTTTGAAAATAATTCATTCACACAATATAATGATTAAAAATAATTATTTAAATGAAGAAGAACAAACTTATGTTTAAACTAATGTTTTCATAACATGACAAAAATATATTTGTTAATGCAATCTATAGAATAAAGAAAAACCAAAAAACTCTTTAAAAGAAAAAAGTGTAAAAAATTTCTTGATTTAATAACATCTCATTTATTCTTATATCTCTGATCAGTTTTTAAATAGGAATTATAAATAATGAAAGCAATATATTTAATAATAATATGATTAAAAAATTACCAATAAATATTTTGTTTTGTTTTTTGTAATTTTCATGCTGAATTCTTCCTATCTTTTACCATCCTTAAAATTTGATGTACACTACCAAAAAATCACTCTGTGCTATAAACACATTGCCATGATAAAATCATAAATTTTTCATGTAACTTTTGCTTGCTACATTAAATACTTTGATGTTTACTTCGGTTGTTTAATTATATTTTCAAACCTGATAAGACTAGAAATTTTTCTATTTCACTAGACAATATTCCATCTTATCACGGTTGCAATATTTTCATACTTAACTTACCCTGCTAATGAGTCTGATGTTGGGTGCAGTTGCATTGTGAGTTCACCCAGCTTGTTGAAGGCTACACCGGCTGCGGTAAAGATTTCGCCCACCTAAAAACAAGTAGTTCTTTCTTTCTAGTCATTATGTATATTTATCGTTGATAACTGCCTTAAAATTTTTCTCATTATTTATTATATTATGATTAATGTCGTAATGTTACAGCTATCTAAAGATAAATCGCAAATTGTTAATTCCTCAAACTTTTTCTTTCTTTCTAGTTATAATTATAAATAACGCAGTATAGTTATATATGTAATTATATATAATTATATATATAATTATATATATGTACAATTATAAATAGATATAATGTAGTATAATTATAAATAAACATAACACAAATATAAAGAAAATTTTAAGAAACTAGAAAGAGCATTCACTGGCATAATTAACTTAACCTAACAATACGATAACATGTTTTTTTTATATCAACTGTAATATATTTGAAATGTATCCACATAAATAATATTGTAACATATTAAAATATTTAAAAAATATATATGCAGAAGAATAAATCAAAGAAAACTTTTCAACTTAATCTTTAATTTAATCCGCGAATTTGCCGAGTCGGAGGCTTCATTCGAGGCATTTTTTTTTTTTTTATTACTGGATCTTAGTATCGCACACAAATTTAAACAATAAATGAAATGAAACACAAAATACGAAAAAATTAAAATCATCAAGAGCTTTTATTCACCTTGCTCGCTGAATTCATGTTGTTGTTATTGTTGTTAGATTCAATTGCGATCGTTCCAAGATGATTGTAACATGGCGGCGACATTGGTACTCCATTACTGCCATCTCGTGTCTCTTTTACGAACTTTGTTCATTAATTTTGTTCTGTTTTATCGTCAAGGGTCATTGAAGATTCTTAGTCATTTTTATCTATTGTTTGTACAATATATAGTCAATAAGATTATACTTTATATAAATATTTATATCTTGCATTAATTTAAGATTAGAAACTCAGTAGTAGATTTTATAGAAACACCATTCTCTTAAAAAAATGCATTTCATTTATAATATGAATTAAATTTCATACGTAAAACAAGTTATACATTTAATCATTATTTTTTACTTTTTTTCCTTTAATAAATTTCTTTAATATTTCTTTTTTAATTATAATATGAAAAATACAGCAAAAATGTTGTTTCTCGTAAAGCGAATGATTTACAATCGCTATTTTCTTTCGTAAATCAAAAGCGTACGTCCCCAATCGTTACTCGCGGTGATGGTCACTTTTCGAAAATCGCACAGTCTTGTCAAAATGTCCTCAATATGCTCCGTCGGATTTCCGGTATACTTCAGTTCCTTTAACAACGGAAAATCCTCCGATTTCACTCTGCGCAGTCTTCTCGACGCGTTTCTGTAACATTTCCAAGGCTGCGGCTCGATGACGATCATTTCTGACAGATCGCAAGCTTTTCGTAGAAACTCCTCCAGACCGTCATCGCCATGATTCAGATGAATCCACATAGTGATTGAAAAGCAAAACACCACGTCGAACCGTGTCTTGTGAAGCTGCGCCAGATGCTTCCTCAACGTCTCGCCGCAATCATCGGACAAAAAATCCAGACACTCGAAGGTCAGGTAATCCGGATGTCGATTGCACTCGCGTGCTCTCTCGATCAGAATCGGATCAAGATCCACACCGATCAAAGAGATCTCTGGTTGATCTTGGGACATAGCTTTCTCGAGGAAGTCGTATAACATGTATGTGAGATTCTGCAAAATACATCGTATCGCGAGAGCAAAATTAAATGTAAATATGCACAAGATATTTAGATTCTTTCAATGACAAAGTTAAATTTAAAATTCATATTTATTTAGTAAATATTTTATGAAAAATTTCGCAATTTTTTAATTGTCATTATTTTTTAATTACCATTATTAAATAAATTTAAAAGTTATATTTAAATCTTTTAAAATGATTTTTTTGCATTCCTAATTATAGTCAAGATTAGTTGAAAAAGAGAAAAAAATTAATAATTAATATAATTATATAACAGATGTTAATATAATTATAGCACTCTAAAATACCATAATTAAATTAACAGTTTACATGAGGATAAAATATCCAATTTGTATCTTATTTAAATTTTAAATATTAATCAAATTAGTTAATGTCGTGTTTTCTTAGTAAAATTATCGTCTAAAATTATCTGAAAATAATCTCCGGTTAAAAGGAAACACGACATTTGTGAGAAGTGATCCGTATAATTAGAAAAACGGCTGGACGCTTTAATAAGCAAGGAGAAAAATGGGCACACACATGCAGGAATTTTTAGAACAAGGACAAAGGATACGGATTCCGGAAGCGGATGACGCGCGACCGGTACCTGAAAAGGGTAACTCGGCTCAAAATTAGACGCGCCGTTTGTAGTTTCGGATCACGAAGGCCAAGTCCCATCCCGTTTTGGATCCCTGACAGATGTGCCGTTCTTACCCCGGCGTTACAGCCGACGTCTAGACCCGCGTATTTCCGGGCCGGATGAGCGTCCCATCGTCGCTGCCACACGCCACGCGGAAGTTGTCGCACGCGCTCTTCCGCAGGATGGAATTGGTAATAATTTATGAAGTTCCCGTGTCTGATAGCGCCCGGATCCGTTTTCTCGTCGCTACTCCCTTCACCGCTCATTGTGTATTAAAAAACGATCTGAAACATATAATTAACATGTGGAAATATTATTACGCGATTTTATATATAAATTTTATATATATTATATATTTTATATATATAATACATTTTTTCATTATTTAATTATACTTTTTATATATAATATATTTTTTATGTATTTTTATATATTTTATATATAAAATATATAAAATTTAATGATTCCGAATACATGTTTACATATAATCTGTTACTGAATATACATCAATCATTAATATTACAAAATCTGAAAATAAAAAGAAATATCAGATTCACATATTTTAATATTAAGAAAATAAATAATGAAATTACAGTAATTTACTTCCTCCGTATAAGACAGAAAGAAATCCAAAGAGAGTTTAAAATGATTTCGAAAATCAAGTAGAAATCAAATATTTAATGTGACAGAAGAATGGAATTTCTATCTCAACTCAATTCCTTTTTTTCTCAGTTCAAGTATGACAAAAATATAGCACGATGTTGCGCATAATACTGCAATAGTATATATATCGTAGGTGACGATGGCAATGACGATGTTAACAAGTGACAAAGAAACGGAAAGAGCATAGGGGAGGAGAGAAAAAGAGAGAGAAGGGGGAGAGAAAAGAGAACAGAGGCTACGAGAGAAGGTCAGGAGGACCAAGAGCAGAAGGATTGAACGGTTATTTGTTGGTGTCCGCGACCTAAATAATTGTAACCTTCGATTAAGAGACGACGAAGCGTGGAAAATCATCGATGGATTAAATTATTTTAGCTATGAACAATCGGAATCATTGATAATTTTAAAAAGGCACTAAAAAGTAATATTAGAGAAATACTAAAGAAAATGATCGAAACTAGACAAAATAATAAAATATATCAAAAATTTATGAGAAAACTAAAATAATTTAATATGATAAAAAATATTTTATGTAGAATAAATAGAACACTCTTAATTTATTTATTATTAAAGATTAAAAATATTTGTTTAGAAAAAAGCATAAACGAACACCGCAATTTAAAAATCTAACGTCAAAAAGCAGCAATTAAAATTACTTTTGCATCGAGAAAAGTTTTGTTTTATCGAACAAGATGAAAAATATGTAAACCTTTCACTTATACAATTATTATATTAATTATTATTAGTATAAAAAATACATTCCATAGAATATTTCACTAATTCTGCCGAAGAAAAAAGCTCGTATTGAAATTTCTAATCTTTACAAGTTTATTTATCTTAATTTGGCATTTATCTATGATCCTATTAATTGTTCTAATTTTATCTCCTATTAATTGTTCTAATTTTTAATATGTTTAAAAAGAGAACAAAAGTTTAATTTAAAAGTCCATTCGGTAAAAAATCGCTTTTTCTACATCTTCAAAAATATTTTTGTAGAGTCGGACACGGACAATATTTCTTTTCAGGCGGTTTCCGTCGAAGATTCGGCAAATATTGAATCTGGTGCAGGGAGGCGGTCCATCGATCTTTCGTTGCATTGCCAAATCCTTTCGAGGTACATTTACGGATTGCTAAATCCGAGCCGAGATTGTGAGGGCACGTTACATGCTCACGATTGTGTACCAACACATTACCACATTGCCCGGCGCGGTAAAATTTATCGAATTAAGAAGGCGATTGGACTTCTCCTCGCGCCTTCGTGAGAACACATAGCCCTTTTATGCGTTCCGATTCGTGAAGGAATTGCTCGTTATGTTGCGTAATCGTTTTGTCAGCGTTAATCGTAATCATCATAGGTGAATGCGAGGAAAACGATACAACGCTTGGTTTCTAATTACCTCGTGCGTCCCCGATTATAGCTCAACGTAATTAGCCGAATAATTCCGGACTTGTATGGCGATTTAGCGTGGAATTTCTTGCGGGAGTGTATAATCAGTGTCTCTATATCGTCGATTGCAACGAGTTATGACCTGCCTGTATATATCTGTGCTTGGATTGCATCAGTGACATTGGTGCTGATATGGCCTCATTTGCGTCACAGATGCATACATGCTAGCTGAAAAAAAGCATCTAAGAGAAATTCAATTTCCCAACCGGTCGTGCATTTCCGATTTATTCAAATATTAATAATTATTAATAATTTGTTCTACAAATTAAAAAAGTGAAAAAAGCAATAAAGATAGCCTGTATATCAAATATATATGGTGTTAAACAAAATAGTTGATATAAATGTCTCTTTTTAAATCTCTTTTTACAAAATAATTTTAACAAAATAATTGACAGAAATATCTCTTTTTAAAACTTATATAAGTATGTATCATTTCAGACGATAAAATAAAAAGTTCTGCGATAAAAATATAAAATTTTATATTATAAATGTATATTGCAGACGCTCGAATATGTGAAGTGGATTAGTATTGCTCGCATGCATTTTTACGAAATAGTGTTTCGGTAGAAGCATCTCACGACACGGGACAATGAACTCACGTGTGTCGTCACACGTGCCACATAAATGACACGATCGTGATTAGTCATCTGAAATCAACATCGTCTTCGATCTCAAAAGGGAACGCCTAAGGGCATTTTCTGTCGTAACAAGCTATCATCTTGGGCAATGCGCGCATAAAAATTTCAGGACGATTCGTTTCACTCGTAAAAGATCAATTTCTTCTTCTTAATACATGATATTTTCATAATAGTCTTGTCGCCTCATCAGAGATTCCAAGATAAATTTATTCAAAAAATTTACAAAGAATATCTTTCAATAGTCTATAATTTAGACACAACAAAGTGTGAAAATAGCACAATTCAGATACATAATTCAGATGTTTCTTTCAATGAATAAAGATTCGAATATGAAAGAATATAATAGCAATCCAACAGTGACAAAAAGTTTCACGATTACCCATCTTATAAAATATTTTTGACACAAGATTGGCTGTGAAAACTACCACGCACCTTTTGCACGAAAGAAGCGAAAGGATAAAGTAAGCATCTCTTCTTCTCACAGCGCGTGGTCGATCGGAAACTGGTCAATGGCACAGGAGAAGAGGAGAAGGGGGAAGCAGCTGCATTGACCTTTTTGCTCCGCGATCCCTTCTTTCTTGTATCGAAAAATCGTGATGTTAGCCAGAAGTTTGCTCGGAGATAAAGTGAAATATGCTCCGGAAGTCGGTCATAAAGCAATCTATTACCGTGTACATCCGGGGCATTCATTCGTCGTTTTTTCCGCGGTCCATTCATAGTAAATCCGCTTTTTCCGGATTTTCGTGTTCCATGCTATTACAAACAAATCAACGTTGGGATCTCGCT